TATTTAATACAGTAATTACTAGCTTTACTAAATCAAGCCAATAGCATTTAATGCCATAGTTGCTATATCTCGAAAATTAACAGAGTAATTAATACTTGATTCCCTAAGAAAAATGCTCAACGTCCCAAAAAACTTTCTCCTACTCTCAAACCCTCTAAATCTTTAATGATAAAAATATATATGATGTTGAACACCACTGATATAGTTTAAAACTGTTTTAAAGAAGATACCATTGGTTATGTTTTGTATAAAGTTTGACATGGTTAAACGGACGATTAAAAGGTTAATATGTTTTATTCATTAGCTATTATTAATAAACTTTTTTTAAAAAAACTGTCACTAATTAAAAGATTTTAATTTCATGATTTTTTGACTATACATATACATTTCGTACTGTATAGTACGTATATGCTATGATAATTTATATTAATAATAATTTATATTAATATGTTTAATTTAATAAATCGAATATATTGAATTTATTATATCTTAAAAGCACCTTTATTATTTTATATTATAAAATGTTATAAGCGATCTTTGTGCAAAAGTACGAAAGTTGAAGAAATTCAGAGATTCTTTTATTACAATGATGTTTCTTTTTTTTTTTACCTGAATTTGCCAATTTTGGTTAAATATGTGCCTTCGCCGAAACAAGGTAGATATCTTTTCTAATTATTATTATTCTAATATTGAAAAATAAATTGTTATCTTTAGTTGTAATTTGTTTCAAAGAGAAGTCCCGCAGTAAATTTAGAGTGTATATTATTTACCATTTATTTACCGTGTATAACGGTTTTACTACAGTACTAAGTCTTGTGATATCTATATTCTTAGATTCATAGATCAACGATAAATTTAGAAATAAATTTAGAAAAGGCAGTTAATTTGTCTGGCAAAAAAAAAAAAACAGGTTTATTCCAAAAATATTAAAAACAAGCACCTAAACAGGCTTAAAATGTAAGTTCTTTTTTTTTTTTTTTCGATCACCCCCAAACTTTAAACATGTATTTTACAAGACTTTTAATTTTTTTAACGTTCTTAATTTATTTTGTATTAGCATTACCTTATTCTTATAAATTTAATATTTATGATGATAAATCATTCGTACCTTTGATTTCTTCCAAAAATGCTAAAGTGGTTCCTGACCAATATATTGTAATTTTTAAAAAAAATCTCAACCAAGATGAAATTAATTCTCATTATAACCAAATACGTCAATTAATTGTTCAAAACGATGATGGAATTATCAATATAAATGAAATTCGTCATACCTATGATTTTAATGAATTTAAAGGTTATTCCGGAAGGTTTTCCGCAAAGTTATTGAATAATATTAGACAAAGTAGTGAAGTAATTATTATTATTGTTATTGTTTTTTTATTACTACGTATTATTATTATTGTTTGTTATTTATTTAGAATTATATTATTTAAATTTTATCGTCTAATAATTTAATAATAATTTGTTTATTATAACTTTATAAGGTAGAATATGTGGAGAAAGATCAAATAGTTCAATTAAATTATAAAAAGAATAGGAGAAAAAGATATAAAATTCAATATGATCCTCCGTGGGGTTTAGCCAGAATTTCTGCTAGGGTTGATGACTGGCCATCTGACTCTGGACGGTATTGGTATCATGAAAGTGGTGGTAAAGGTGTAACGGTATATATCATAGATACTGGTATAAACATACATCATGATGATTTCGAAGGAAGGGCTATTTGGGGTATTGATTATTCTAATGATAATTATGATAATAATGATGGTAATGGCCACGGTACGTTTTATTAGCATACAATTAATGCTTTTATCATAAATTATTCTTATTTTATTAGTCATATAATTTATTATTATTATTCTTCTTTTTAGGAACTCATGTTGCTGGAATAGTTGCGGGTAAAACTTATGGAGTCGCCAAGAAAGCGACAACGGTTGCTGTTAAGGTTTTGAACTCTTATGGTTATGGCTATATTTCAGACATCCTCAAAGGTATTGAATGGTCAGTCATTCAACATAAATCGAAACAAATGAACAATGATCATAAGGGATCTGTCATTAATATGAGTTTAGGTGGTGATAAAAGTATCGCCACAAATGATGCTGTCGATGCGGTAATGTTAATATCTTATAAAATTTTGATTTAGTTTCTCTTATAAAATTTTGAATTGGTTGTAATATTTTCTCTTATAAAATTTTTCCTCTGTTTAGGCTGTACGAGAAGGGATCGTTGTTGCCGTGGCTGCTGGAAATGATAATGATGATGCTTGTAATGAATCACCTGCGTCTGCTAAATCAGCTATTACTGTAGGCGCTTCTGATATTAATGATAACTGTGCATGGTTTTCTAATCATGGCAAATGTGTAGATATTTTTGCTCCGGTATATAATATTTTATTAATCATTAAATCATTTGTGTTACTTTATTAACATTATTCTAATTATAAAAAAAATAGGGTGTGGATATTTTATCATCTTGGATAGGTTCTGAAAATAATATGGTTGCAACTTTATCAGGAACTTCAATGTCTTCTCCTCATATAAGTGGTTTATGTGCTTTATTTATTTCAATGGGTATTGCAAAATATCCAAAAGATGTTAAAAATAAAATTATTGAACATTCTACACGAGATGCATTAAAAGGAATACCAAATATTTATACTCCAAACAAGTTGGCTTATAATTCTTGGTGGTGGAAGGACATTTTTGACTCAGAGTTGTCAAAATTTGACGAATAATGTATTATAATTATTTATTTGTATTTCGAGTTTTTTCTAGTAGTGTTTTTGTTTTTTTTTTTTTTAAAAAAAAACAATTGTCTGTTTTTTAGTCATCAAGTACATTTTTACATAGATCTATGTAAAATTTTATGTAAAGTAGAATTTTTATTGAATCTTATAAAACTTTATAAACTCGGTGTAGGTTTACATAATTATTTATATAAATCGATACATATTTCTATATAAAATTATGTAAAATTGCAAAAAAATTTTAATTTAAATATTAACGCTAGGATTAGATTTTAAAGGTTTTTTAACATGCAGATCGAGCGGTATTTACCTTAATCACTTTTGAGAAATAGCTAAAGTAAATTATTATATTTACATAACAAAGCAGTCGGTCCAGATGTCACATGTAAAATTTTAATAGTAGATCAAATGATCGACGCATCCAAATTTTATAAGTAAAATTTACGCAAAATTTGCTTTCTAGGCTTATTTAACAATAAAGAAGATGCCGGTTGGTATCATTTTGCAAATTCTCTAGCATTTTCGAGATATAGCAACTATGGCATTAAATGCTATTGGCTTGATTTAGTAAAGCTAGTAATTACTGTATTAAATA